GAATGACCGTATACTTATATATATATATATATATATATATATCCTTTTTCACTTAACCAGATACTCATCAAAGTTAGGAACCTATTCGATGGTGTTGGGGTTACTTTTGTAGCCTCTAAATTGGATTTAATTAGCATTAACATGGCTATTGGGCAACTTAATCTCATACACACCTTTGATGTCATGTGTTATTTGTTTAGACTACAGAAAGATAAGAGAATCATTAATTAGAGCCAAAGGTTAACTATGACATTTTTACAACCCATATTATTTCTTTCTGCATAATTACACCATTGTCTTATGTTCAGGCCTATGAGTATACTCAAAATCAATGTGCACGAAGGCTCTTTCAACTTCAGGAAGTTGTTCCAATTTCTCTTGTAGTGTCTCACCAATGTTGTGTGCTTGATTGAGAGGCATGTCTTCTGGCAGCACAATATCTGCTTCAACAAAGTAATAAGCACCAAAGGTGTATGCTCTCACTGTATCTATGTGCTTAACCTCTTCATGGTGATTCCATATCAAATATGTCAACTTTGCTAGAAAATCAGGTGGAGCTGTCCTTCCTATAAGGGACCATACATTCTCAATCACTGTTTTTGCCCATGTATTAATAGTGTATAGTGCTATCTGCATAAGAAATTCACCATATCATAGCCATGAGTTGGTTTATTTTATATATGGCAACAAAATTTTCATACAACACAAGCATAGTCTTTGCAATTTTTCGTTAGATTTAAATACCTTTTGTTCTCAATAATTTGATGAACCGTATCTTTTAATTTTTATAATTAAAAATATTTCATATCGATCTTTTTATATATATATATATATATATATATATATCAATTTTATTTCTTTTAACCTTCGTCGTCTATTGCTATAAAGACATAAATATAAGATTTATTATGAAATTATAAGAACTTAAAAAAAATAAAGAAGATATATATGAATAACAAGTAAAATGATATATTTTTAATTATAAAAATTAAAAAGTAAAGTTTATAAAATTATAAAGAACCTCAAAAACAAATAAAAAAAAATGGGAAGGGGTTCTCTCTTAAATTTTCATGTGAATAACTTTTTGAGTTTGTGTATTTTCTCTCTTTACGAACTGTAAAATTTTAACTAGTCATTATGAAAATTTCGTGCTTTTTATCTCATTAAAAAATTTTGACGAGGCTCTACTTGCTTAACATATATGAACATGTAGAATGGTGAAATTTGAACGTGAGAATTTCCCTTTTCTCAAAGAAGGAAAGTAAAATTAGAAAGAAAAAAAAATGTAGTGATAGTTATGAACTCACAATAATAGCTCCCATTGGATCAATCCACCAAGAGTATTTGACAGCAAGCACAGCAGCAACTAATCCAACTGAATTAGTAATAACATCGAAAAAATGATCTTGTGCATAAGCTCTAACAATCTCATTCTTAAACCTTCGACAATAGATCATGAGAATGAACTTCACTATAGTAACAGATAACATAATCCCGATCATCCATTCCAACTCATGGGGATCCATTTTAGCCTTAGACTATAAGATAAGTAATGAAACAAGAAGTTAAAACAGGTGGATAGTTCACAAAATACAAGACATCACATAAATAATGACTAAAAGTAATAATTTTTGTTAGTATATCCATCTTTTTGTTACCTTATTCAATCTCTTAATTACAAATTAAATAATTAGTGATCTCAATTACCTTAGAAATTAGTTGTCGAGCTGACTCAATCAAAATTTGTAATCCCAAGGTTGCCATCACTGATGCAAAAACAATGATACCCTACATAGGAAGTCCTCATCAATATGTGTGTCTCTTAACAATGCAATGACTATTTTCAAAATAGGTATTTTGTTACTATTATTGTCATGTTAACTCATGAAACTGTGAAGCAATTGCTATACTACATTTACCAAAATTCTCACTAAATGATTTATGGTCCTTTAAAATATTTTAAAATGTTAATCTTAATATATATAAAAAAATTAATATATTTTTACCCTTATATTGTAATAGAAACACTTAGATGTGGTTTTAGTCCTTGATAAAGAAATACAGTCACACCACTTTAATATATGTAAAGACTGAAACCATATTAATTTTTATAAGAATTAAAAAAAATATTTTGAGTGATAAAAATATTTTATCCTTAAGATGTAAGACTAACTTATTACCACTGGTTGCATCCGTTTCTTTCCAATGGGGTAGTGATAATGGTTTGGGTTTCTCATGGCATAGGCAGTGAACCATAATATGAACCCTGACAAGAGATCTAAGAGAGAATCCATGGTGGAAGCAATGACTGCTAATGATCGACTTTCAATTGATGTATAAACCTTTGCTGCAAACAGCAAAAAGTTAGCTGCATTTGACACATTAACTGCCAACCTCTCACTTCTTGCTAACTGCTTCAGCTCATCCTGAGAGACATAAGGCACATTTATTTAGAATTACACTTTACAAATTTTAAGAAACAACTTATTTTTATTATTATGAAATGAAAATCATGAGAATTTTTTTTATATTTTGGTTCTTCTTTTTGAGCTTTCTATGTGGCTATGTTCTATATATGATAAATATATAATTATCTATATATAAGATACTTCATCCTACATGTATGTCTCATATCTGATAATTATTCATTGGTGTAAAAAAGGATTTTTTAACTAACTTTTTATGTCGGATAATATTCACACGACATAAAAAGTGACTAACCACATATCTCTTACACCTAATCACATTGACATTAGAGTGCTTGTAGTTGGTCATTACTAACTTGCCCTCAACCGATATTGTTGTCACATTGTAATTCTCCTTCACGAAACTTCACCAAATATTTTAATTATGAGCATATTTGTATGAGAATATTCCCTTTAAAATCCAATAATTTCACTAAGATTATGATCAATCTACAACATGATGTAATATGTATTGTTTATAATACGGTTAATTAGATACTTGTATGAACAATGAAAGTGAATGATGATGATAGAATAATGAACCTCAGTGAGACTTCCCGGAAAATAACCCGTTTCTGTCATAGTATCCATGTCATTATACCCTTCAAGGAGCCTCTCCTGTTTCTTGTAGTATTCTGCAACCTTACGTTGCTTCTCTAAAATCAAAAACATAAACAAAATATTACTTGAAAGAAAACCACTTCAGAAACAAGACTGAACTGAAGAAGACATGCACTTGGTAAATAAAATAGCACGCGTTGCAGAAATCTACCAGTTTAGAAGTTACCCAAAAGTGACTAATATCTCAAATCTCTTCAATTATTTCAATTATGCATCATGAACATGTTGATGACAAATTTTGGTCCAAATTCTTTAATTGTTAATAAGAGGTTTTGTTAAATTAGCATCCTTTTGTGTAGTTGAGAAACATAGGTTTATATATGTTTTTAGTACTTTAAATTTAAGATAAATTTATTTTTGGTCCCTCAAATTTGAAACTGTTGTTTTTAGTCATTGTAATTTTTAAAAATTTTGTTTTAATCCCTCAAATTACTAATAACATATTTAAAAGTTACAAATTAAGACAATTATGTAATATTGGATTAAATGTGATGTTTTCACTGCTAGAAATATTAATAGATATATTTTATGTAATAATATTTAATAAATTTTTTAATAAAATTTGAATATAAATATTAAAATAATATTTTTTAAAATTACAGGAATTAAAAACAATAATTTTAAATTTGAGAAACTAAAAATAAATTTATCCTAATAGATTGTTCCATGCTGCAACTATTCGCACTTCAAAAAGAAATTCTTGGGGGGGAAAAGAACACTACATTTTTGTACAACAAAATTTAACAAAGCTTTGATCACATAACTATGTGTTAAAGAAACTTCAATGATAAGGATTAAGGATATAAAGTGTTCTCAGGACCAGTCTTTATTACACCAAAAGACGTATATATGCTATCAGTCGTACACTAGCAAAAAATTAGCAAAAAAAAATTAATAAACAAGTGTCATTATCTACTCTAAAAAAAAAAGTGTCACTATCTAACTTTAGAAAATTATATTGGTGTCAAAAAAAAAACTTTTAGGAAATTATCTAAATTTATGAAATAATATTTATAATTAATATTTTAAGACTGACCTACAAATCTTTTAATATTTAATTTTCTTGGTGCCCACCTTATCACCTTCTCATGTCCTTTTGAAGAATGAATAAATAAATTCATGCACACTTGCGTTGTATATCCTCTTGTTCACGAAAGAATCACTTTTGAACCTAACTTTTTTAAAAAGAAAAAACAACACCAAAAATCTAACCCCACAAAAACTTTCAGATAAGGAAGAAAAGATAAGATAGGAAAAGAAATTCTTTTACTTATATGCTAAGATTCCTTCCTTGAATACAAATAGCAGAACAACGCCTAACTCAACAAAATAAACCCACCATTTACTCAAATACATGTAGTGATATTTTTTTTTTTTTCATTTACATTTAAAAATAGCTATGAACATACTTTCTTACTTTTATTTCATTTTAAATTTAAAATATGTAAGTACAAAATGATGAAAATATGTGATTTATTATTCAAATTACTTAAAGTATAATTATTTAAACCACTACGATCGGCCTAGTTTTAAAGTTAAGATAATTTGTATATGACTTTAGTTTCAAACCTATTATCATTATTGTAAATCTTTTTTATAAAAAAGTATAATTATTTAGAAAAATAAAATTAGTGATATATTGACAACATACAAAGTTTAACACAAACAATAATCAGAAATCACAATTTATATAATTTTTAAAATAATTAGTGTAAAAATTAATAAACTTATTATTTATAATGGATTCTGATTGGTTGATAGCATAAAATATTTTTGTACTGTAACTCAAAATGAAAATGCAAATGATAAATATTTTGTAATTACTTATGAATTGTGTGTATGGGATATGATCAAATTCAAACTCCATAAAATGACATATTTAATAACTTTATATAAAACTATTTTGACATAAAATTTATATAAAATTAATTTTTTTTATCAAAATAATGAATCATGTTAAATGATTATGCGTAACAAATTTTAGATGTACATAATCTACGTTAAAGTTTTAGTATATTTTAAGCATGTAGTCTGTTAAAGTGAATTAATGTGATCATGAATTTCAAAACTTAGTTGGTGTGTATGATTTTCGGATAATTTTATATTTATATATTTTAATCTGTTTCTTTATTTTTACTAAATATCTTACTCATGTTAGGTCTTTTTACTCGCTATAAATCTTTAACGTTTTAAAAGTATACCAATATATGGTTAGAGTAAATTAATGTGATGAAGTTCAAAATTTAGTATATTTAATAAATTTTCTTTTCTTTTCTTTTTATATAAGTCAATTTTTTATTATTAAATCATTTTTAGAACAGATAATATTTACTAACAAAGTAAATATCTTTTTATTGTGTTATACGTGATTATTCTCCATTGGAAGGTGACACAGCATATAATATCCTCTTCTTAATATAATATATCTCACATTCAAAATCAGAGTTCGCGTCCTTAAAAGAATTTAGTTAAAGGACCGCTTGTACAACTAATGTTAGTAAATTTGTTCTTAATAGAAAAGTATACAAGTAATCTATATTATTAATATTAATACTATTAATAAAGATGATATATGTATTTTGGTGTGTCTATAATTTTTTGGATAATTTTATTTTTATAATTACCAATATTTTTTAATGTGTTTTGTTTTTCTTCCTGGTTCCTATTTTACTGTGACTAAATATCTCACTCTTTTTAGTGTTTACCCACCATAAATATTTAACTTTTTTAAAACTATAAAATTATAAAAATAAAGTTATCTTGAGAACCTACTAAACTTATACTTTATTTTTTAAATGATTCATAAATCTAACTAAATATGTCACTCTTCTTATTTTTTATTCACTATAAATCTTTAACCTTTAAAAAGTATATACCAATAGTTGATCAATTATAAAAATAAAGCAATCTTATAAGCTACTAAACTTGTGCTTTATTTTATCAATGATTTATCTTTATCTGTAAATCTGGTTAGTAACCTTTAATGGAGTCTTTTCTTATAATTACAATTTTTTCTATATACAAAATTCAAATTCTGCTTTAAGGGGACTAAGTTGAATGTATGACTTGAACCAAGGACTTGTTGATATTAAAACTTGTACTTTAATGCTTTTAGATCAACTTGCTCTTCTCTAGAAAAAATAAAATGTTTAAATATATATTTGGTCCTTCAAATTTAAGATAAATTTTATTTTTAGTTTCTTAGATTTTGTTCAAAAAATTTAATTTTAGTCTTTATACTCAAATTTTGTTAAAGAATTTATTAAATAGTACTCCATAAAATTTATTGATTGTTCTATTAGTAAAAACATCACATTAAACTCAACTGATATTATATAAATGTTTAAATCTATCACTTTCAGATATGTTATTAATGACATTGAGGACTAAAACAAGACTTTTGAAAATTATAGAGACTAAAAATAACAATTTTAAATTTGAGAGACAAAAAATAAAATTATTCCAAATTTAAAAGACTACAAACATATATAAACCAAAATAAAACTAAAGAAAAATAGTTCAAACTCTTTCTAATACACCAAGAAGGAACTAAAGAGAGAAAGAAAAAAAAATGTCTCACTAGGTTCCCGAAGAAGGCCACGGAAAGTGAAGGAACGAGCATGGTGACAATGATCATGATCATGGTTATGACTTTGGCGTGGCAACTGAAACTTCTTCACATTGAGTCTCCATGACAATGATGACGACTCTCCGGAGGCCTTCTCCGCCAGGATCTCTTCCCTTCTGGCGGTGGCGCCGCCGTGTTCGCCACCACTCTCCGACATCACTCTATTATGTTTCGTAATTTTTTTTGGCTTTGTTATATCATGGGGACGTTAAGTGTAACGACCTTTCCTTGTTATATAGGGAAATAACCGATGTGGAAAAATACAAAATATAAAGAATTTCTCTACTTTTAGGGTTGTTCGAGTGGGGCTCACACGTGGCATCATGTAGTGGATTTTAGATTTTGGGCAGAAAGATTTGCTCAAAACAATGTGGACTACAACTGTACAATACAAATACTTTAAAAAAAATATGATAATTGGGTGTGTTCTTAGGACGAATTGAGAGAGTGGTAATTTCACAAGTGCACCCCTAAAATCCACCGTAAGAAATATATATACAAAGAGAATAATTAATGGTCCATTTTTTTAATGAATAATTTATTTACAATTAAAATTTTTAATTAATTTTTAAATTTATATTAATCATATTTTAAAGGCTTAATTGTGTTTTTGATCCTTCAAGTATTGTAATTGTACAATTTTAATCATCAAGGTTTTAATTGAGTAATTTTAGTCCTTAAAATATTGTAATTGTGTGATTTTAGTTACTTAATTTTTAATTGAACAGTTTTAGTCCCTCAACTATTATAATTGTGCGATTTTAGTCTTTTTCATTAAAAATTTAGTAATTTTAGAATATATATATATATATATATAATATTTTAAAATTATACAATTGCTTACTACTTTAAGTTAATATATATTATAATTTTTTTAATATATCAAATGATGTATATTTATTATTACTAAATAAATAAAACTTATATATTATTAGTATTTTAATATTATTGATAAATTAATATCAATAATATTTTTAGTATATTTATAGATAAACTAATAATTTGATAAATATGACTTAGTATATATTAATATAATTTTACAAAAATATAAGTATATAACAAAGGGACGAACAAAAAAAAAACAAAAGATGTAACGACCCGCCGTAGTCCCTACACTTAGTGGAATCGCACTATTCATAGTAAACTAAGATGAATAATAAAATTGGATAACTCATAAATACAAAAGATACGAAAAAGAGAATCATTTATTAATTTAAATATAGAGTACTTATACAATTATCCAAATCTAACATCTCCTAGTGCTGGTCAAACATAACAACTGTTATCCAAAATGGTAAATTTGACTCTAGAAACCAAAACAAAATTTCACTTCTAGCAGCGGACGCAGCCAACAGCTCTAACCTAGCCCTAATCTACTCACACACACAGTATGATCATGGCAGTCCATCCACATGGAAACAGAAGGGTAAGCTAGAGTTCAATAAACAATCATACAAGTATAAGATAATACTATACTACTCGGACATCCAATCATCATCACAACGCAACCACACAATTCAACATAAAAACTCAACTCATTCATACAACTTAGAAGCAACTTTAATACAACCACAACAACATACAACTTTAAAATTTAATGCGTCGTCATACATATACAACTAGGAGATCTCCAACAACTGAGGTTGAGCAGTCTAGGTGGCATAAACCCTACCGAATCCAACGTTTGACCTATCTTAATCAGGTCAGGTATAGAACATCGTTAAGAACTCCGAAGAGAACCAGGTATAGACAACAATAGGCGATTTCTCAAGTGTGCCACTTAGACTCGGAAGTTCAGTACTACTGTCAGGACAGAAGGGTTTGGGTACGAGCCTACCATGGCCTTGGCTAGCATCATTAATCCACATATGGAGTTAGCCCACCCACTGTCCTCCAAGTACCATCCACCCTCCAGTACCTAGTCAAAGACTACATCTCTAACTAGATACCTTACTCAAATTGGTCATTCAACCATGACATGAATCGACTACTTCCACATCGTCCACACAGTACTAAGGGATTCAACTTTAAAACAACTTTCAACTTATCACCTTAGTACTATGTATCTCAACATAGGACATATATCTTCACCATATGTCCCCAACTTTTCAACTTTACAATAATGCGACAATAGGCATTTTACAACAATAGGCAATTTACAACAATACAACAATAGACAATTTACAACAATAGGAAACTTACAACAACACAATAATAGACATCTTACAGCAATAGGCAACTTACAACAATACAATAATAGGCAACTTACAACAATACAACAATAAATATCTTATATACCAGCTTAACAACTTTCTATTCAACTATACCACTATACAACTTTAATAATTTTAACAACATGTGAACAACTTAATTCCATCAATTACGCAACATATAAGCTTCATACAGTTCAAAAATGAACTCAGATTCAACAAACAACAAATCAACTCAATAAAATCATCAAAAACCCCATTTTTCCCAAAACCCTAAAAATGAGGAATTTCTTTAATTCAACCACTTCTCAAAATCATACATCAATGGAGTTTCCAATTCTCCTAAAATTAAGCAACCTACATTCTAGCTTCCCTCACCTGAAAGTTGGCTCTAAAAAGCCAAGAATTGAGAAGAAGGAGAAGAAGAAGAAATATTTGAGCTTGATTGTTGAACTTTAATCCTCTAAAAGTAAGCTTTCTAGTATGAAATTCAAGGGAAGACAGAAGAATTAGTGACCTAGAGGAGAAGAAGAATTATACTGAGAAAGTTGAGAGAGAAACGAGCTCATAGACCCAGAGTCCTTCTCTCTAGAACCTCTCTCTAAAACCTCGCCTCCTCAACTGCACATAAGTCCTATTTATAGAAATTCAGGAGTGGCCAGAACGACCCGTTTCAAATCTAGAACGGCCCGTTCTGAACTCAAATGTCATGTGTAAAATTTACATCCAGAACGGCCCGTTCTCAAACCAGAACGACCCGTTCTGGGGTTGCATTTTTACCCATAACAGCCAATTTGGAACGGCCTGTTGTTAAGTCTCAATTATACCTCTTTTTGGACAAGACTTAATGAACAATTTCACTTATTCTTTGAACCATTGCAATAAAATTGTTCTCTTTTTGATTTGTTTTGTGTGCAGATATAGCTAACCCAGAATTTATCTAACAATACTTTAATACACCTCATTTTTGTGCAAGTATTGAGCTAGAGAATTGAAGATTGAAGACCCTTAGGATTGGAAATCTAAGGAGCTAAGGAGCAGAGCAGAGTGGCTGCGTCGGGCGCAAGATGACCCGCGCCGGGCTTGAGAAGAACAGAGTGTTCCACCTCTGCAAGTCACGCCTGCGCCGGGCGCGAGACTACCCCGCCGGGCGTGATCGAGACAGAGAGTACCTCAAACTCTCTGGAAGGTATTGCGCCGGGCGTAAAAGGAATTGCGCCGGGCGTGTTTTGAGACAGAGAAGACTTGACCTCACTGGAAGGCCCTGCGCTAGGCGCAAAGAATTATAAGCCGGGCGCGAAACCCTAATCTGACTCCCCAAGCTCGTATTTGAAGACATTTTCGGGGTTTTCTTCCTCATCCACACATGGGGCGCGTTTTAGGAGTTGTGGAAGGGATTCCCGGAGCTTGGAGCCGTTCGTGTGTGAGTCTTTCCTTCGGTTCTTCATTTCTCCCTTCACCTCTATTTTTTGTTTACCCTCATTGTTTTGAGTGGTTCTACCCATTTTTGTGGGGTTAGATGTAACCAACGAATTCTAATGTAATCCTTACATTTTAATGATATATATACATGTTGTTCCATTCTTTGTTGTGTACGTTTCTTTGCTTAATGCTTGCTTTGGATTGATCACCCTTTGCATGATTTAAGGTTCCATTGAGTATTGGGAAATACCATTGAAACTAGTTCTGAAACATATGCCTAGTGGAGATTATATCTAGGGATAGGGCTTGACCCATTAGTAGTCTTAAACCCTAATCTGTAATGCGGGTGTAGGTATTGGGTACTCAAGGGATTGATATTCAATATCCGCACCTAGGCTCTTTCTCTAAGGGATTAGGTTTGAGTAAACTTATGGGTTGACTAAGCAATGTATGTAACAAGAGATTAAGGATTCATTAGTCTGACGTTTGGTGAAATCTAACCCCCACAACCTCACAAAACCATAATACCATTTCTACCCTTATCCACTCACAACAAATATTTTTATAGCTTTCATTCCAATAGTCATAACCTTGAATGCACATGATAAACTATGAAATTGGAATCATTCTTTAGTCACGAATAGTCAATAAATGCTTATTTTACCTTCTAATCCCTGTGGATACGATAATTTTACTACTTGAGCGGCCGGTATACTTGCTGTGTTTGAGACCGTTGATAGAATTAAATTGATTTACAATTATAACAAAAGTGTTTCAACGGAAATCTCAACACCTGTTCGCAACTAGGGTTTTTAAGCCAATTTAGTAGTTTGGAGCGGCCCGTTCCAGTTTAGAAACGGTCCGTTCTGGCTTACTAACTACGTTACAAAAGATATGTATATTTCTAATTAATATACTTATATTTTTGTAAAAGTATATTATATATATAATAAATTATATTTATCAAATTATTGGTTTATCTATAAATAAACTAATAATATTAGTGATATTAATTTATCAGTAATATTATAAAAATAATAGTATATAAATTTTATTTATTTATTAATAATAAATATATATCATTTGATGCATTGAAGAAAATTATAATATGTGCTAACTTGAATAGACTAATAATTGTATAGTTTTAAAATATTGTATATATATGTATATTAAAATTATTAAATTTTTAATGAAAGAGACTAAAATTGCATAATTATGATATTTGAGGGACTAAAATTGTTCAATTAAAAATTGAAGGACCAAAATTGCACAATTACAATTCTTTAAGGACTAAAATTACTCAATATCAAAATTGTCCAGTTACAATATTTGAGAGATCAAAAATGTAATTAAGCCTATTTTAAAACAACAATGTCTATTTGATTATAATATAGGTTAATTTCTTCCCTTATATTTTTCCGTCTTTCGTGGTGGCAATTGTATGTCAATCTCATTGGCTACGGTTCCTTCATTGTGACAACCGTCTTTTGATATTCCGTTATGGTTTTTCAGTGTGTTTGGATGGATAATTTTATAAATTTAAAAAATTTAAAATTTTTGGTATTTAAATTTATTTGATTTCAATTTTTATCAT